CCTGCCCACGCTGCTCCTGGTGCAGCCCAGAATCTGCCGCTGCGGACGTGTGTCGCTGTGAGACAGCTCTTGGCAGCATCTCCTCTGTGCCCACTCGTTTTCCAAGGTGACGGGCTGGTTTCTGGATCCCTCGGAGCTCGCCCCGGTTGAGGGCACGCCACTCCCGCCAGCTTTCCCGTGTTCTTGCGTGTCCGGTGCATCTTCCCTGCAGCAACGACCCTTTTGCCTCGTGGGGTTGGTTACGTTTAACAGTTTGAGTTGTGCCTGGAGTTTGGTTGTCGAAAGGTTCGGTCCCTTACCTGGGCACCTTGTGAAAGCAGAGCGGCGGGATCAGCTTTGCCGTTGATTTGGTGCTTTGCCTTAGGAATTCCTGTGTCTTCTTTTGCAGTTAACGTTGGGGAAGACTGCCCCGTGTTTGACGGGCTGTTTGAGTTTTGTCAGCTCTCTGCCGGAGGCTCCGTTGGTAAGCTCACAGACTGACTGTTCTTCTCCTCTTAAGCCGATGGGCGTGATGCAGCTCCGTCTAGAAAATAAATTGTTGGGGGGCGGAGGGAAGCCCTTTGTGCCGATTTCTGATCTCCTTAGTGATCAGATCCAGATCTCATCCCCTGCAAGGGTTCAGGCCGTGCGTATTGAGAGCTCCCTCTGCATTTGTGAAGCATCGCTCGTCCCAGTTACCTCGCTGAGCGTGCGGGGGGCTCGGACAGAACAACGCTGCCAGCAAAGGCTGAAACTGCAGCAGCAACGGAGGTTTAATTAAAACCATCGGCGTGAGATTTACAGTCCTAAAACCCCTGCTCTGGGCAGGCACGACCTGGAAAGGGAAGAAAAGGGTTCTGTTATCTGTTAACAAAAAGCCACCGTCCCTGGGCAGGAGGCAAAATAGACCCCAAAAGGGTTGGGTGAGCTCCCTGAGAGCTGGAGCGTCAGAAACGCCGTCGCTGTTCTCCGACGCCTCGTTGCAGGAATACGGGGTCTTGGGGGATGCTGGGGCTGTGCGCAGGCGTTAAAGCTCCCGGGGTGACGTCTGGAGGGCTCCGCTGCCTGTGACAGCGTTCAGCGTGCAGACACGCGCTGGCTGCGGTGGTTTCCGAGGCGGCTACGCTCTCTGCTCCCGAGGCCGTGGATTCCACAGGAGACAGAATGTGTGCTGGTCCTGGGAGACTTGTGAGATGGGCAGGAAGTTCGTGAAGGGGCTGGGGGAAGAGAACTGCCTCTGCCTAGGTGCATGTTCAGTGAGTGACCGAGGTATATGTTGGATAAGACCCTTCATTGGCATCTTCCTTGCGGGGGGCTGAGAAAGCGGAGCTGCCTGCACCCGAGACCCCAGCCCGAACGCTGCGGCCTCGGCTGCGCGGGTGTCGGGCTCCGAGGCCCGGAGCGGGAGGCGGGGAAATGTGCCTGCGGGCAAACAGAGGCACTTCCTTTCCCTTTTTGGTAGCTCGTTGAGACAGCCAACGTCAAACCCTTTGGCTCCTGCCTTGTGAAGCACCCAAACGCGGGGGGGAAGCGCGGCGTGACCGAAAGGGCCCGGTGCTTCGCCCCTCGGTCTCGTCCCGGGGCCTGTGCGCCGGCGCTGACGTTCTGTAATTCTCCCGACAGCCAGCGCCGTGAAGCTGAACAAGCAGCAGACGGATATCGCTGTGAATTGGGCAGGAGGCCTTCACCACGCCAAAAAGTCGGAGGCTTCCGGCTTCTGTTAAGCCAACGATATCGTCTTT